AAAATGAAAATAGCACAGACTTTATTCATTGTTAACACTTTACAAACTCCAAAGTTGCATTGAAATTCATGCGCAGGTCATAGCCATAAAAAAAAATGTTTTGTGAACCCACAACATGTCTCCACTCTCCAGGGAGGACTTCGTGAGATGCAGTGGTTGAATCACTGAAATTGGGAGGGGAATATCTAGTGCTAGGTATATTAGCAGCATCAGTAAATAACAAGAAATTGTGAAGTGCAACACATGCCTTCACAATTTGAACAGCTTTCTCAGGGTAAAATTCCATTGGTTTTCCAAGAATTTGCCATCTAGCAGTCATGATACCAAAGGCATTTTCAATTACCCTTCTAGCTCTGGAATGGCAGTAGTTATAAATTTTCTTGGGATTGTCAAGGTTATTACCTTAAGAGTAAATAGAACAAAAATGGCATTAAGATCAACTGTTTTAGCAATTTACTGAGTCTTGGGAAACTCTGCCAACAAGCAGCCAGGAAATTTTTTTGATCGCAATTCTTGTGGGGAATGAAAAAAACATTTTGAATGAGTCTTACAGAGACATAAATTGAAATATCAATGCTTTGATTAAACATAAGAAAATTATTTTCATTGAAAACGGAAAATATATATAAAAGTGCATGGAGTTAACAAAAGAAAATGTACCTGGGTAAGGTCTCATCATATTAACATGAAGAGGAAAAGCAGCATCGCCAACAAATACATAAGGTAATGTAAGTTTACTACCAGATAGATCCTCTGGCAAGGGCAAACCAAGTTGTCCATTTAATAGCTGCTCCCCAAATTTGCTTTCTTGGAAAACCCCCCATCACTTTGCCTTCCGTATGCACCTACATCTACCATTAGAAAGCGATAGCAAGCATCACATACAGCCATTAGTACAACAGAATGAGTTCCTTTATAATTAAAGAAATCACTTCCAGGTGCTTTGAGTTGCACATGCTTTCCATCTATAGAGCCCAGACAATTTGGAAAGTTCCAAAGCCTCCAAAACTCACGCGAAATTTCTGCCCATTGTGAACCAGAAGGAAAGGCAACAAACTCTTCATTCAATGCCAACCAGATAGCTACACACACCTCCAACAAAATTAGGGAAACTGTAGTTGATCCTAATCGGTAACTTGAAGCCACAGTTTGTTGTGAGGCGCCAGACGATAGAATTCTTAACGTAACTGCTAGCCTTTCTTTTACACTAACAGGACTTAAATGCGTAGATGCATGCTTTACATGAGGCATAATTCGATGTGCCAAGTCGTCGAAACGGGCAGAAGACATACGAAAATACTTAAAATGCATTTCTTCGTCTATGCCTCTCATTTGTTGAACAAGAACGTATTCACCCTCACTTTTTCTAGAAGCGTGAAGTGGTCAAACTGACTATCTTCTTCGTTTTCGTTTTTTCTGTTGTAGCAACAAAAGTAAATAGAACAACATTTCCTCCTCCTCCAGATCGAGAAGGTCATCCATTTCTCCTCGAACTCGAGTTGCCATGTTTGATCGTGAGAATACCGCATTACTTCATGTTATCCGATTTTGTTGAATACGCGTCGGTAAGCGCGTTAACTATAAACACCAGGGGCCGGTTGTATAAAGCTCTTAACTACTTTTTAACTACACTTTTTGCAGTTAAAAAGTAGTTAAATTTAACCACGCGGTTAAGTCGGTTGTATAAAAAAGTAGTTAGCGCTAAATGCAGTTAAAAGGTAGTTAAAGTTAACTATGCTATGGAGCATAGTTAACTTTTCAAAACACAGTTAAATATGGCGGCTTACCTTCTCAAAGACAATTATGGGTAGATGTTGTTGATCAACAACGTTTTACCTTGAGTTTTAATCACATATGTATCTTCCATGGCAAAGGCTTTTAGAATAAGAGCTTTATGGACAATGTACTACATTCGTCAGTGCTGTAAACATCCCAAGTTTTTGTTGACGAAAAACAGCCAACAATTTATCCACGTAACAAATCCTTTTTTACACAAGAGCAATTGCATTTTGTATTATCTTTCTTGCGTCCGGTAGCTCTTTGCAACTCATAAGCGAGACTCTCAATTGAGATAGAGCCACTTCTTTAAGATTAGTGCACATAACTCGCTGACATTGTCTTACAAATACGTACAATTCGTTCAATGACAAGAAAACAAAGAATGTTATTCGAGCAATGAATCCTATAGCCTTGGATGTATCAAATATTCAAATCGCGGGTTTTCCCTATGCATTTTGCTTGATTGAATATCATATGCATCATATAAACTCTTTGCTCTATGGAAAATAAGCTAGATTATGTTAAAACAAATAGGTACTACAGTATAAATGTTGTGCTAAATATACCAATGATAATACATATGACCTTTACAACAGTTTTAATTCATGACTACTCTTTTGTGTATCAGCTGCATGAGATACAATGATTTTAGTTCCTTAAATACATAAAACATTTCATCAGCATGCATGGTGAAGGTCCATGTTGCTTGATATATGCACATTATCCATTGCATATTGTTTATTACACAAGAGGAAAATATACATGACAGTCAATTAGTGTGTTTTATTGATATTTCATCAAGTATTTCCTATGTAAAAATTTTTATTTTCAATGTACATACAATCTTGCCTGCCAATAAAGATCTAGCTACTGTTTGATGACTTAAAAAGTAGAAAAAAATGAATAAAACTCCCAAGTTTTAGAGAAAGATAGGCTAATAAATCACAAAGGCATAAATAAAAGTTTCATAGCTAAGGCTCATTAACAAATATACCCAATAGTTTTTATAACTCAGTTTTTGCAAGGCAAAATTAAGAACAAAAAAGGGTTTTGTGTATAGCTGTGAATATAACATGTCACAAGCAGAGAAGACAGTTGCTGGATTACATGGCTACTAACTATGATGACTCAAGGAAATGTTTTCTAATAATAATTATTCGCCTGTGAATTAAGTTCAATACAATGCACAAATAGACTTTATAAGCTATTCCGACAAAAATATTTTTGAGAATAGATTTTAAATTAAATAAGTTAAGAGGAAATATTCTATGTACCTGGGGACACTCAAAATCTATAATAAACAAAATGGCATGAGTTTAACAGGATAGAAATGACAATGAAGACAAAATGAATACAATATTTATTCTATATCCCTATGTTACATTTTAATGACAGAGGAAAGATATGTCATAACAGTCATGAGATTACATTGTAACTATGATGACCTTTAAGAAATGTTTGCTAACAAGTCTATCAATAAAAAGTCTATGGCTGTCTTCTTTGCTCATACAGTCATACCTGTGGCTAAATGTCTTGTCATAAAACAATGATTAATTTTTTTGGTTAACAACATTTCTTTCAATGATTAGCCAAACAATATCTTTCTCTTTTATACACTATTTCTGATAGAGTCAATGGCTTTTTAAAGCTATTCAAATACTTACCAAGATGCAAAAAGTAGGAAATAAATAGAACTCCCAAGCTTTAGACAAAAATAGGCTAATAAATCACAAAGGCATGAATAAAAGTTCCATAGCTAAGGCTCATTAACAAATATACCCAATAGTTTTTATAACTCAGTTTTTGAAAGGTAGAATTAAAAACAAATAAGTATTTTGTGTATAGCTGTGAATATAACATGTCACAAGCCGATAAAAGACAGTTGCTGGATTACATGGCTACTAACTATGACAACTCAAAGAAATGTTTTCTAATAATAAAAAAGTCCATCACTGTCATCTTTTACAAATATGTGTGACTTATGTCTGTACAAACACATTTCTTTCAAGCATTTTACTCAGCTGTTATAAAGAGAAACGAAACGACCCTTTTCCTTTGTTACCCTCAATCTCTCAGTTTTAAATTCTGTAAAAGCGAGGCCATTCAATTATTTAAATCTTTGCACATAGAACACAATATGAATCAATTTGAGAAGAGTTCATTGTTTCGTTTGCCCAAGTCCGTTATATATAATTGGTACATGGAAGAAAGCAGTCCTTGCCGAGACTCATATCATTCGTCAACATCGCACTGTACTACAGAGAAGATAAGGGTCGATTTTCTTGAGAAAAGTCCAAAGTATATGCTGCAATTTAATCCGGTTACCATGTCATCGTGAATCTTTTATTAAATTTTCTTTTCGCTTTATCAACATCCGTAAAAACGACAATAGTTTGCCATATTTTAAGATTTTTACATAAGCCAAGAGATTTTTCATGATTTTAAAGTCATTTTATAGTTCACTTGCCCGCCATTACAAAGGATAAATTGATTAAACTTTATGTCATTTTATGTAAACAACACTCCACGTAATTTCCACGCAAGTTAACTGCGCAGTTACTTAACTATCCGACTAACTACGTTTTGTGCAACGCAGTTAAGTCGAGCAGTTAGGTTACTACAGTTAAGGAGTTAACTACGGTAGTTAGCGTTAACTATAGTTAAAGTTAACTACGTTTTTATACAACCGGCCCCAGAAGCTGGCAAGCAAATGCCAAAAACTGTTTGCTTAAAAAGATGAATCTAAAAGAAACAGCTTGAAATATAGATAAGATATAAAATAAATTAGCTTAAATACGTATAAATTATTGTATTCAACTGTGTTTAGGACTCCTTATAGGATTGTCAGATTCTAAATGTCAGATTGTAAATGTCGTCAAAGATGTGCTCTTTGAGACACCCTTATAGCTAAAATGGAAAAAATTTTGACAGGGATTGAGGAAATGGAATAAAATTTTTTCATTTGTACTTTTTCTTGGAACTCAAAAATGAACTTAAATCTTAATTCTTTTTAACATTGGTGCAATCTCGATTGTGATTGGCTTATAGCCTATATTTTCCACCTGCAAAACATTTAAAACTTCTGCATTTATAATGTGCATGATAGCACCATCACAAAATGACTCTTTGTCGATGCTACGTAAGTTGTATTGAATTATTAACAGAAATTATGACATTTTTCATTTGAACTACGATATCGGAATTCAATTCGACGTTTTAAGCGCATTTTCTTTTACTTCAAATTTACTCACTCAGGATGTCATATTATCAATTCTTTGTTGGAATATTGTGCTCATTTTTATTGTGCTTCAAATTTACTTCATTCAGGATGTCATATTATAAATTCTTTGTTGGAATATTGTGCTCATTTTAACTTCCGTTAAAATTTCTCTAAGTATTTCAAATCAATTTCGAGCACGTCTTTGTAAATGATATTCGTTAACTTGAAAGTCTGAATTTATGCATGTTTCATGATCTCTGAACATAATAACAAGTTCAAACATATAGGAATCTTTTAGAAATTGATGAAGTTGGAACTAGCTAAAATTTACTTGTACAATATAGAAAATTATAAAAATAAATAACATAATGGGAGAAGTCTTATAATTCTCTTTTCACAATATTCAGAGGAAGTTGAGAGGACAGAGCCAATGGAAGTTCTTAAGCAAAAAGCACAAGACATCATTCAACAAATATCCTTTCTTGGAGCTAAAATCGCCATCATCGAGGGACGTTTCAGCGAAACGACGTCAATTAAAGAGAATGTATCAACGCAAATGAACACGGCAATAGGTCTACTGAGGGAAATTGAGCGGGCAGATGTAGTTGGTAGAGCTGAATATGAGGCTTTGTGCGCTCGTGTTTCGTCATTAGAAGCTGAGAACGCTATGCCTAAATCATCAAATGAATTCTTAGAAGATCCTAATCGGTAACTTGAAGCCACAGTTTGTTGTGAGGCGCCAGACGATAGAATTCTTAACGTAACTGCTAGCCTTTCTTTTACACTAACAGGACTTAAATGCGTAGATGCATGCTTTACATGAGGCATAATTCGATGTGCCAAGTCGTCGAAACGGGCAGAAGACATACGAAAATACTTAAAATGCATTTCTTCGTCTATGCCTCTCATTTGTTGAACAAGAACGTATTCACCCTCACTTTTTCTAGAAGCGTGAAGTGGTCAAACTGACTATCTTCTTCGTTTTCGTTTTTTCTGTTGTAGCAACAAAAGTAAATAGAACAACATTTCCTCCTCCTCCAGATCGAGAAGGTCATCCATTTCTCCTCGAACTCGAGTTGCCATGTTTGATCGTGAGAATCCCGCATTACTTCATGTTATCCGATTTTGTTGAATACGCGTCGGTAAGCGCGTTAACTATAAACACAGCTTAGCGCGCGCGCACCTGTCTCGCGCAAATCGAAAGTACGCGCGACGCTTGTCGCGCGCAGCATAAATCGTCCTTAACTGTTTTGTGCTAACGCGCAAAGGAGAAAATTGCTGCAGTTTCTTAAACATTTTGTCGGCATAAAAAACATTAGTACATCAACACCACTGTTTATTTGAAGATTTCAACGTCTTTCAATTTATTGACCTTTGGACTAAAAAAGGATATTACAATTAGTTTCAATGGCAAAGATTTCAAAATCTTTTCCTCAAAGTTGATTTAATATATTTGGCGAATAGATGCGTTTGAACATGTTTTAAAACGGAAATAATTGCATGGCAAAATGGCTAACAATTTCACGCTTGTGACCAAACTTTTACTGCCAAATCCTTATTGGTTTTCTAAGAAAATTAATCTTCTCGATAGTTTTCCAAGAGAATACGTACAAAATACTTGCAAATGAGGAGTAAAAAATGAGATATGCTTTGGTACCGAAGTAGTATATTGTAGTATGAGAAAACGAAAGTACCGAAAACACGTTGTATTGAAACATTTGCACATAGAAATATCTTTCCTTACCTGTAACCGGCATCCTCTCACAATTCACTTCATTTGTGAAGAACAATTGCTGCAGGTAAGCCTTCAAAGAGACGACGTAAAGTACTTACGTACTCTCCTTCCATGGGATGTGTCGATTCTGTCGAAGCACGTGCTTGTACAGTGTTTCATATTCATAAGTCACTTTCCATTTGCGCTAGATAAAGAGATTGGTAACGAACTAGGAAACATGGCGGTAAGGTTTTGTTTATATGAAATATAAATGAGTTTTCTAATAAGACGATAGTCTACAACAGGATGCTTCATGAAATTTTAGGCCACGAAAGGCAAGCAGCCGACCAAAGGAAGGAAAGAAATATTGCAAGGAAATAAAGAAACGTTAGCTTTTTATATCAAAATAATGGCGGCCGCCACGGTAAAGAAATTATTCTTATTTAATAGTTCGTAGTGTTTGAACGTAAAAACAAGCAATTGAAGAGGAAACATTCATTCTAGTCATTGGTTATGTTTTTCTTATTTCAGTTTGCACATATTGGTGTTTGTTTTTTACTATTCTTTTCTACAGCTGGATGGTTTGCCCTGGTTAGTAAAAAAATAACACTTCACTTTGTTTTTTGATTGGTTTTCATTATCATGGGCTCGATCGAAGCATATTAATGTGCGGATGTTCTCGACTGTTTCAGCTATCTTTAGTGTTTAGCTCCTCTGTGTACATAGCATGTTACAAGACAATGAGAAGTATGGCAAAACCAACTTATTCCAGTACAGGAGCTTTGCTTGATGGTGGGATTGACTTGAACATGACATCAGGAATGGCAGAGTACGTACAACTTAGGTCACATGCACACAGAGTTTCATTCAAGTTTTATTTCATTTAGAGTGTTTCTTTTATTAATGTAGACATCTCAAGGATCTCATATTACTTACAGCAATAGTACAAATCCTAGGGTTATTGTCCCATTATTTTTGGCTGCTATGGTTGTTGGTAAGCATATGTGTGTCAAGTTAAAATTGGCCAATTGTGCTATACATGTGCAACTGTAAAATATTTTTTACCTTCTTATCTAGGCACCAGGGCGTGCTTTCTACATGTTATGGACAAACATTTTAGCACCATGGATTTTTGCCGAGCCATTGGATCAGGAGGTTGTTGACCCAAAGCAGCAAAAAAAACTAGATCGAAAAATGAAGAAAGAAAAGATTATCTACAGATAATGTAACTGCAATTAATTAATGAACAATGCATCTATGATCATCAATGTATTACATAAATGGCTGAGAAATGAATGAACTAATGCTACATGTTTGCAAAGATGTCAGGATAACACATGAAAACTTGAATATTTGAAGTCCTCCTTCTAAACATAAAGACAAATCTTGTGAAATAAGTTTACTTTAGTCGTATTTACACTTAACAGTGGGCAAACCAACATTTATTACATTGTAAGTCAATTTATAGAAGTAAAATTGTTCAAAAATATACACTTGTAGATATACCACCAAAGAGAAAAAACAGTTAAACACAACACCAAATTGTTTCATATTTAAGTTGGATACAAATCACACATTCATTGTACGAAAAGTGGCTATGTTACAAATCCTAAATGGCCAAACTGCTCATATTTATTGAGTATTATGCAGTTTAGTCTATTTATAAGCATGAAATAAGATATTTGATGCTCTGACATGCATCATCACAAATTAGTTTTCCTCAACATTTGATGCTATGAGAGGTCGGGTATCTAATGCGTCCCTGGATTCTTGCCTACAAATGACATTTGGAATATCTTCACTCGTAGTTAGGTACGGTGGTGGTGGGTAATCTATTTTCCTGGGATCTTCCTCAGCATATGTAGGTAAAGACACAGGGTATGGCCCCCTGGCACGGCCCTCGCTACTAAACATGAATGCAGGTTGTGGTACAGCTGGTTCTTCCTCATATCGATGTTGGTTTATTTCCTGGAAGAAATAAAAGTTTGTCAGTAACATTGTAACTCGAAATGAACAAAAACTAACTTACATTGCTACGAACTTGACTCATCAACCTTTGTATTTCTTTCCTTTTGTATCGTGAGTAAAAATAAAATGCCCAAAACAACACCTTGAGAATGACAATTATTACAATGACCCTAAAAATGAACATAATACATGAATAGTGTAATGAATGGTTGTGGAAAAGCACAAATATCGTTAAATACTAGACAAAAATATGGCTGAAATGAATCCAGCTTATTTAAATTCTACCACATTTTAACTTCAACTAAGTCTAACTTTAAACACATAAATTATGTCAGCACACTAAGTAAGAAGAAATATATTTTATACTCACACATAGAAAAATAAATCCATCGTCTTCTATATTCTTAGTGACATTGCTCAATGTAAAATTTTAAAAAGTCTAGAAATGATTTACAAAACAGTGAAGTTGGAGTCATTGGGTTTTTAGTTGAAGCATGAGACTATAGCTCTCACTATGCTTGTGGACGATATCAATTGCCTTACATGAACAATATGAAAATGACGTGTTTAAACGTGTTATAAGCTTTAAAACATATGTTGTTTTCCATTTAATCTCTGTGACAATATAAGTGTGCTGTTTTTTAATGAATTGCTATACGTACCTTTACGCAGAAGTATAAAAATACAAACTACATACGTAGAATATTTGAGTAGCAAACCATGTCTCACTCTCATGATTATAGAACAGCAAAACTAACAATTTTGAATACGTCAAAATATAACAGTAAAGATAATAGTGTATAAAGCATATTAGCACGCATATATTTTATACATTATTTACGCCTCTTTTCTACAATTCTTATCGCGAAGTTATACCAAATATTTTAAACATAAAATGTAAAAAATACACCAGTGATACTAAGAGAATATTTACGTATCGACCGCTTTGACGCCGCTTAATTTATTAATGAATTTGTTGAATGATTACAAAGACGTTATTACGCCTTGGAAAACGTTACATTTTCCCAGCATTCTACAAACCATTCAAGTGTAAATAACTCTTCTCTCCTGCGTAAAGGAACTGCGAAATTTGCACATATTTCGAAAAATAATTTCCGCTGAAGAATTACCTGAAAACCGAGCCAGAAATTAGGTTTCTTATCCACAGTGCGCTAATATGTCTTTTTGGTAATTTGTTTTTTCAAAATAACACAAATATGGCAGACAACTTTTGAAAACTGATCTTGTAATTGTAACTGGATAGCTCTTAAGTCATGTTAAGCATTCTAAAAATCTATCAGTATGCACTCGGTGATTTGGTAAGATTAAGATTTTTTATTCTATTTTAAACTAGAAATTTATCGATTCCAATGCAGACTCGAAATCAAACTTGATTTAAGTAAGTTCGCGAAATACTGAAAGACGGAAAGCATAAGCGATCTTCCCAGAAACGATATAATCGACTTATGTTCGTAAATCCGCGTAAATCGTCGACAACATCCAAGATGGCGCGCGAAGGTAAATTATTCAAATTTCAATCTTCTTGTTTTTCAAAGTTCTTATATCGTTGTCTGTTTCGACGTTTCTAAAGACTAGTGCAGTGTATTTTAAACAATTTTTCCACGATAATTTAAATAACAGGGATTAAATCTTTGGATTTTGAAGAAGAACTGGCTACAGGCAGGTGTGTTTTGAAAGGAGCTCAATGAATAGATAGAAACCAGATCAATTGAAATTAACAAGTAAATTTTTTTATTTGAAGTGCGTTAATAGTTGTAGACTTATGAATAATGATATCAAAATTGAATAGAAACCAAACATATTCAAACAAAATTTTGTGTAAACTATCAACTGATAAACATTTAAATGGCAGATCAACCCGTGCTGACAAGACGTTTGATGTAACAGTTGGTCATATTGAAGACATTATCATGGGTATTGTAAATGTAATTGTGAAATTATGTTGTGTTTGTCTGTGTTTTTGGTGCCCAACAAGATTATTATTTGCAGAGGATACATTTCAAGCACTACAGAATGAATTCATGGAAGAACATTATCACCACTTTGAGGATGTAGAGGAAAACAAGCTTGTGTATACAGATATATTTACTAAATATGTAAGATTGGATGTTTGAATAAAACAGCAAACAAGTGGTGCTTTTCAATGCAATATCTATAGCACTCAACTTGATCATTATAGACCAACTTGATTGAAAAGCATTTGGAGGAATGTCTGCAAAAGAGAATGCCAGACTTTTCTATGGATCAATTTATGTCATCTATTCAGTAAGGCAAAGTATTTTTACAAACATTAAAAATTTTTCAATGTAATAATCCTAGTTTGTTATAGACAACGAAAGGATCAAATTGGAGGTGATATATTTGATATGTTGCTAAGTTTCACTGATTTCCTCACTTTCAAACAAATGTTCTTAGATTATAAGATGGTGAGTAATAGAACCTAAAGCCTTAAGAAGTGTGATGAAAATCAATGCTTATGTCGAGTTTAATATTTCACAGGACAAAGAAGGAAAAAGCGTTGATTTGGGTGGACTTGTTATCACATCTTTGTCAAATGAACGTTAAAAGAGAACAGTTCTCACAAAAAAATAATCATGCAATGGATGATGAAAATGTTGAGCTGACAGACACACATATTTAACTCGTTTAGCAATGTGAAATGACTCAAATATTATTGTAAATGCTTCTGTAAATAATGGTTAACGAAATTTTCATTAATATATTTTATCTCATATGTCTTTAATTTATATGTTAAACTGTTAGCCATTAATAATTAGAAAACATTCTTATTTCCAAAACCTAGTGCATCAATTCAGGTTAGGCATGGTTTATGAGATCAGTTGGACTCTAATTGTGATATCTCCATAGACTGTATTATATTAGTGAATTATTTTTGATAGAAATTAGCTTAGGAGGAGGAAAAATTGAGTTGGCAAGTTTTTTTATTGTACCTCCAATATGCCCCGTTTCCCTATTAATATTTAAAATAACAATAATGCTACCTGCAACCAGCTGTTTGCTAATTTTGTTTTTCTAAAACATCTAAATAAAAAGCACTGAACTCAAACGAGAATTTAACCACGTGGGCTAAACAATTGCTGAATAAATTACGCGAACAATAAGTTGGACGAGAAGCGATCCAAGTCGAAAGAAAAACGCGAGAAAAGGGCGTATCATGGCTTTTGCAGTCAGAAAATTTAGCAGCTTCTTAAGCCTCTTCTCTTTGCTAAACATTTTCGTCTACGTACGATGTTCTTATAAAACCATTGGCCCGTGTTTTTATGATAATAGAAATGTTAGCAAACTGATAAAATTGGACGGTGTTAAGGTAAGCTTTCTTAATCTGCGCGGAGCAAATAATCAAATGGTTTGTACCTTTTAATGAATGACAAGCGTCTCTACTCAGGTCGGTTATCAAAGACTTCTCAATCTAGATGACGAAAGCAAAATGTACCACGTGACGACTATCGCGATGAAGCCTACAATATTTGGTAAGTTTGTGCAACTCATATTCAAGAATGACCAAAGTGACTATGTTAATATTTAGTCTATAAAAATCATATATGAAATGTTAGTTGGAGATAAAAGTAGTTTTTTCCATCCGAACATTTTTCTACACATACACACAGAGCACTTGTATGCATATTCTGATCACGTTTTAAGAAATACCAAATTTTCTCTCCGACTGGGAGTGCGAACATTTAAAAGATCTTGCAAAGAGCAACGGTTTGAAAGACAGCACTCCAGGTCACGATATGGAGCTTTACAAAAAAGAACTCAAAAAGGCAATGATGCGAGCAGGTAGAGTAAACAATCTAGAAAAAAATGGTACAAAAACGAGAACCATTCACTAGCACCATGCATTTAAAGTTATAAGCTTTGATGCTGAAAGAAACAATCTGAATTTGGCTGCTTTATTTATTTCGTTTCATTGATTCGTGATTTGAAATAGAAAATGAAAACTATGTTTTACATCTACCGGAGTTCGTCGACCATTTTCACGAATGGGACGGAAATGGTGATACATCGGTCACAATGGACGAGGTAACCATAGCAACATTAGTCAACTTAAACATTTTGATATAACAATTGAAATTCTTTCAAGGTGGAAGTAATGATTCAGAGAAGCAATGGTCTTTTTTTCAACGAAAGTGAAATTAATGAAATGTGAGCAAAAGCTTTTCGAACGTTTGAAATGTCAGTGAAGTCTCTTGAGCAACAGAGAGACTGGTAACGAATGAAACGTGCACGTGTGATGAATACAACTCACTTGCACAGTGATTTAGCCACCTGCTAGTTTAGTGGTGTTATGTAAATTTCAGATCATTAGGATCACTTTTAAAAAAAATCTCGTTTTCTTCATATTCAAGACAAAGCAAAAGTTTAGAGACAGAGTTGGTGATTCCGTTTCTACTAGAAAGATATAGTTAGCCCAATATGTCTTCAAAATTCTTGTTTTATCTTGAGCATCACGAAAAGGAGATGTTTAAGTTCGGAATCCGTTTTATTTTGTTTTATCTGAAGTTGTCTGCTTGTCCTGGTCATTAACATCATATTTTATTTAGAAATCAATTGTTTTTACAGTGAGTGAATACCAAAATATTTACATAGCAGGACCAAACTTGTAGTTGTAGTTGTAGTCACTGTCTCTACATCGTACGATGACTTTTAACTATAAACATTTAAAGCTGGCTACGTCACTGTCTCTACATCGTACGATGACTTTTAACTATAAACATTCAAAGGCTTGCTACGTCACTGTCTTTACATCGTACGATGACTTTTAACTATAAACATTCAAAGGCTGGCTACGTCACTGTCTCTACATCGTACGATGACTTTTAACTATAAACATTCAAAGGCTGGCTACGTCACTGTCTTTACATCGTACGATGACTTTTAACTATAAACATTCAAAGGCTGGCTACGTCACTGTCTTTACATCGTACGATGACTTTTAACTATAAACATTCAAAAGCTGGCTACGTCACTGTCTCTACATCGTACGATGACTTTTAACTATAAACATTCAAAGCTGGCTACGTCACTGTCTCTATATCGTACGATGACTTTTAACTATAAACATTCAAAGCTGGCTACGTCACTGTCTCTATATCGTACGATGACTTTTAACTATAAACATTCAAAGCTGGCTACGTCACTGTCTCTATATCGTACGATGACTTTTAACTATGAACATTCAAAGGCTGGCTACGTCACTGTCTCTACATCGTACGATGACTTTTAACTATAAACATTCAAAGCTGGCTACGTCACTGTCTTTACATCGTACGATGACTTTTAACTATAAACATTCAAAGGCTGGCTACGTCACTGTCTCTACATCGTACGATGACTTTTAACTATAAACATGCAAAGGCTGGCTACGTCACTGTCTCTACATCGTACGATTACTTTTAACTATAAACATTCAAAGGCTGGCTACGTCACTGTCTCTACATCGTACGATGACTTTAACTATAAACATTCAAAGGCTGGCTACGTCACTGTCTCTACATCGTACGATGACTTTTAACTATAAACATTCAAAGCTGGCTACGTCACTGTCTCTATATCGTACGATGACTTTTAACTATGAACATTCAAAGGCTGGCTACGTCACTGTCTCTACATCGTACGATGACTTTTAACTATGAACATTCAAAGCTGGCTACGTCACTGTCTTTACATCGTACGATGACTTTTAACTATAAACATTCAAAGGCTGGCTACGTCACTGTCTCTACATCGTACGATGACTTTTAACTATAAACATGCAAAGGCTGGCTACGTCACTGTCTCTACATCGTACGATTAACTTAACTATAAACATGCAAAGGCTGGCTACGTCACTGTCTCTACATCGTACGATGACTTTTAACTATAAACATTCAAAGGCTGGCTACGTCACTGTCTTTACATCGTACGATGACTTTTAACTATAACCATTCAAAGGCTGGCTACGTCACTGTCTACGATGACTTTTAACTATAAACATTCAAAGGCTGGCTACGTCACTGTCTCTACATCGTACGATGACTTTTAACTATAAACATTCAAAGGCTGGCTACGTCACTGTCTCTACATCGTACGATTACTTTTAACTATAAACATGCAAACAACGTAGTTTAAACCCAGCGCATTCTGTACTGTCATTATACATTGGCATATTTTATATGTACTGCATGAAAAATATGAAATGTCGTTAACCAATGGTATTATATTCCAGGTTTGACGCAATGGATTACTCGTATTTTGATGATGGTATACTTTTCATGAGAGAAAAAACCCAAAAAAGTATCAGCCTCAATAACTTGTGTTTAACAATCTTTTTTCGTGTGTTTATAAATTCAAGGACAAATGAACGAAGAAGAATTCAACTTACTTCCTTTCAATAAACTCGATGCGTATATCAACTTCGTACATTCCAATCATCCATTCCATAGACCCCGATACAGCAATCACACGTGGCTAACGAGAAAAATTCAAAATGACGTAGTGTTAAAAAAAATTTACGACAGGTACAACTATTAGATGAGAATACACTTAATTGTATCACAATCCCTAAGGACACTTAAAGTTCCCGATTTCATGAGTGGCCTGATGGAGATTTAACTTCATCATTTCACCATGAAAAGTTAAAAGAGGTGATGTGACATCCAAACAATCATCATAAGGACTAATAAGACTGAAAATAGGACTTACATACCAAATTTTAACCAGAGGTGTGTTGCCAAAATTATAAAAAAGGGGGGGGTTCTGATATATATTACCCATAAAGAACTACTCAAACTTCACAGATCCTCCCCCCCTTCCAATACACCTCTGCATTCAGCCATTTTATGTTACTTTTGCAGAATCATAAGGTTAACTCAATTGCCACGTGAGCTAGTAGAAAGCAGTGAAAATATTCAAGTAAGGATTCAAAGCAAAACATTATCAAAACATAAAGAAATATTAAAAAAAAATTATTATCTTAGTGAAATATGTTTGTTCCTTCGTAGATAGTACGTTATGACGTAAAAGGTCATTATCATGCACATTACGACTCCACTCCAAATGAAATTGATAAAAACATAATTTGCTGTCATCAAAATCATGATAAAAATAAAGATTGCAAACTGTGCAGGTAATGAACGTTGACATTATTGTCGACGATTTTATGATGATGTACAAAAAAAGTGAAGGTTTGAAAGAGATATGATAATATTACACTGAAATTGTTAATTTATCTGTAGAAAATTATGCATATTTCATATAGGATTGTAACAGTGTTGTATTATCTAAATGATGTTGAGCATGGTGGAGAAACAGCTTTTCTCATTGCTGACAACAAAACCTTAGACATCAAGGTGGGAACTTCTACACAAAAAAATAGCAACTTCAACACACACTTCTCATACTATATAACCTAAGTTTCACCAAATACCACTAGTAGTGTACCCAACAAATGCTTCTCATATCCTCTTTTATCCCATTTTATACATAGTTTAAAGAGGATAAAATATAAATTTGTTATGCTTGTGTTTTACTTTCCAGCATTTGAAATCTTTAAAGAAAATGTTCAATCTTAGCAAACACTGTCATACTTCCAATCTTGTTATCCCAGCAAGAAAGGGCACGGCCATAATGTGGTACAATCATGCAGTAGACCCTACATCTGGTTACCTTGGTGACATGGATTATCACACGATTCATGGTGGTTGTGATGTCCTCAAAGGACACAAGTGGATAGCAAATTTGTGGATAAATGCACCAACTAAAGACAATCTATATGTACCAAGCATATTCTTATGATGAATGTTTGTTATGGAAATGTATACAAATATGATACTTTATCCATCAAAACTAAATTCATCAACTTAGCAAATTGTTTTGATACAAACAATGTTTCTCGGTCCTAAATGCTATCATCTATCTTGTAATCAACAATTTTCCTAATATAAAGACAAAAAATGTGATAGATAAGAAATAAAAGGTTATAATTACATGCCAGTGGATAGCTATGTGAGTTTGCTGATGTGATAGCACATCAGTTTTAAGTTTAACTTATGTTTAATATATATGCAATGTACCTAGGAGTTAGTTTGGGCTGAATGGTCTGTCTTTTCTACATTATGCAAAATAGCAGCCCTTACTCTAACAGACATTTATATTTATATATGAACTACTGCCAGAGATACCACTAGAAATATAATATTTAGGACTGGCTTGATGATAAACACATATTTCTTTCATTTCACATTTCTTGAAATAAAGTATAATCATGGGCAGCCCAGAAAACTGTTTAAGTTTTTTACTCAACCGATTTATTTTATTTGATCGATTCAAACGATTTATTTCAATCAATCCATCAAACAGATTGCTGGGCTGCGTATAGTATAATTCAAAAGCCTCTGAAGACAACTACAACTATGTCACATACAGTTCTTAATGCCATCCATTTGGAAAATAATGTCAGCAATCTTTAAAATTTCAGTTGATCACTATCTTGTATGAATAGATGACATGTAATGATTACATTTGTCATATTTGGCCACGAATATATGTAAAGACTCCCTTCAAGACTTTGATCAAAATTACATAAGCGTTACTCGCAACTCAAGGCGAAACGCCTTGGAGATCCGAGTAACGCTCAAGTTATTCAGAAATGAAGTTATCTGTAGACCGAGTGAACTTTGAATCACAATAATGACTGCTTTTAGTATCAATAATTAATATAGAAACTATAACGATACCACATATCCAAGTAGACACGTCAATGGACGACAAAAGTTGCACCATCAGCACCTCGTGTTCGACTAGTTCGTAAATCTTGTATTTCTTTCTTGATGATCCATAACTGTATAACATGAAATACAGCAATAGTTTCCGTAAATTACAATCACAAAATGAAATAATTATAAACCACATTTAGATTAGAATTTCTTCTTAAAATGATTTTAGCCGGTGTCAAAAACAGTTATGGTGGCAAGTTGCCTTCATTGAGTTCTATAATAACTGGAGGGGAAACGTCAACAAAATTAGTATAAATTATTAGCGCGCGGCCGCGTGGTCAAAAACATGGCGGATTTTGGTTGTCAAAGTCAGCGGAAAGACGCGGGCTCATAAAATGAAATTTTTTTCGCCCACCCGGATTTGACAACCACGATTGCGATTATATAAAATATCAATGCCAAGCACAAAAACTTTAGAAATTTTATCTTTAAAACATGCTGCAAACTTGTTTGGTATACGGATGCTGAAGTAATGCCAGAAAAGGAAACATTTCATGACACCGGTAAGCAACGTAAGATTGTTTACTATTTAAAGTGTTCAGTGTTTTGTTTTAAGTCAATACTTGAAGTGTGATGGCATATATTTTGTGAATGTTTTTACTCCTAAGTTATAATTTAAGTTATGTTTATCCAGTCTTATTTGTTCTTTACTTAATCGATTGCTAGACGAGGCAAAGCAACCAGTTCTTATCGAGATATGCATATCTTAAAACTCCTTGTTTCAACTGAGTTGAAATGGAGGATTTTTTCATGATATTTTTCTGAAAATATGAAGCAAATATTAAGGACAGAGCTGAATTGAAATCAAATGCAGTGCAGGATTAATTAATGAGCTCTTTGGTACATGTCGACAATAAAATTACCTGTATTAAACAGCTAGCCTGGACAATTTGACAGATTTGGACAAGCATGATGATGGTGTGTAAAGGTTTGCTTTATGCTAAAAGTTTTATAAATGCCATCTGGTGTTTCTGTAAATGAATTGTTTGTTACACAGTGTGGTAAACAGGTTAGTACATCAAAATCAAGATAAAAACTACTTTGTTCAATAATGTGCCAAATTTTGCTCCTACCTTGAAATATTTGCTCAAGAAAAGCTTATCATGACATGCATGAAACATTAAATACAGTACTGCATCATCTGACAAAATCCATACGTTTTTCAATTCCAGGTGATTAAAAATTCACATAAGATGCATTGGTTGCCATGAAGTTGAATGTAGAAGAAGCAAAAATTGATGGCAAAGAACTTTTTATGTCATTTGAAGAATTACGATATCATTTAAAAGAATAAGAGTAACAATCTAGTAAAAGAAGCCACATCTGCCTTCAACATGAGACTTTTCCAATTATGTATAGTTACTTTGTACAAAATACTATTTTAGATAAACTTGATTTTTAAGTCATTCACTGATTTTTACCAAAAGACAAAAAGAAAAATTCAAAGGCATAATGTAAAATTCAAAAATTTGTCAAGTTGTTTGAACCTAGAAAAAATTAGTATAGGTAACTGTAATTTGTAAGGACACAAAAGAAAAGTAGTGCAAGAAGGTTAGCATTTTTGAGAATTAATAAGTTCTTGACATACATTACACAAGGCCATAATATTATAAATAATGTCTGTATAATAACAATTATACAACATGCTAAATATCTTCACCTACATTATAATTATTTAAACAGGTTTGCCTTCATGCAGCAATAAGAAAAGTGTTATGTCAGAGAAACCAATGCACTTTGATTTAAGAAATAGTATTTTCAATGGGAAATTAACGTAGTTCTGTTCAGTAGTAGATCCATGGTTGTCAATAACAATCCAGTTTCTAATATCTTGGCTCAAAACAGAACCAGCAACATGATTATAGAATTTCTGAATTTCGTTCTTTTGCTCTCCTAGTTCAAGATATTTTCCTCATAAGTTCTCAGTAGATTTATCAGAATATCATAATACTTTATAAGACATCCAGAATCAATCCTACCAAAAAAAACTCAAAAAATTACATACCTACTTATAATATATTTCCAGTCGACTTAAGTCGTAGGGGTAAGCTAACTTTTTCTAACTCCTTTTTGGACATTTTAACTAAGATTTACCCATCTATTCAAGAAAGACAGTTGCAGCAAGCTGTTCACAAACAGTCAAAAACACAAGTAATGCGCATGGGATTATGCATTAAAGCTTAACAACACATTGACAGTGTAAAGATTGCCGTTTGATATTTCTTTCTAATATAGCTAAAGCATTACTTGAAATAATATACGTTATTTTACAGTAGATTTACCTCATTTAAATGTGTGTGTCTATTTCACAAAAACCTGAAGCATTATTTTCAATATTTTATGCTTACGGTATCGTGGTTGTTTTCGCTGGTTGTCATTACTATGAGCAGTAATAGAGATCCGTTTCGGGAGGGAGCGAATGTTAAAAATTTTTCTCAAAGTGGAAGTTTTGACAACCAAAATCCGCCATTACCGCCATGTTTTTGACCACGAGGCCCAGGCCCCTTTGCCCCTCCAGGTCTTATAGAGCTCAATGGTTGCCTTGCTTTTCAAGAAAAACCTGTTCGCAGGCAAACAAGAACGCTAAGCATTTTTACCATTTGCTCAAAATCAGTGGTCAAAATACATATTATTTTCTCCAGATATAATAAATGAGACAACAAGACCAATATACGGCCTGTATGTAAGACCAATTAAGAATCTGACTAGTAATAGAATTGAATACAAATGATGATTTTGATAGTTTTTTAATTTGAAATAAATAGATGGATTGTTCTGGATATAGAATAATTCTTTAACAACGTATTCATAATAAAGTACTGGAAGCAAAGTAAGCGTATATTTCGTACATTAAAATCTCTATACCTTTTACAATGAACTTTCAATTATATAGTTTATTCAAACACCACAAATATGGTACTACATTCTTCAATATTTTTATCAATTCTCATGGATAAAAGAATTTGAGTTGCGAGTAACGAGATTATTGTCATCTTCATATTGAATCATATTTTCTACATCACAGATATTTAACTTTCTGCTTTCATTTATTTTGATGACAAGATTTTCCGAAATGATCACGTCTCCACTATCATTTTCTATGTTGATATTGAATGTTTCTTTTCCAATAATCTTTTCACACAAGACAAATATGAGAACGCCATGATTCTGGAACGATGTTTGAAGAGAATCCACACGTTCAAAAGTTTTTCTTGAGTTGCGAGTAACGACAGATTTACTTGAGTTGCGAGTAACGACAGATTTACTTGAGTTGCGAGTAACGACAGATTTATTTGAGTTGCGAGTAACGACAGATTCGTTTAAATTGCTAGTCACGCAGTCAATTTTTTCCCATTTAACTCTTCTTTCTCCTAAATCCCATATTGTTACATCTTTGTCAACAGCAAACTTTATGATAGGATTGGACGAAATGACGACTGTTCCACCAAGATTTTTTACTTTGACATCATAACTTAAAATTCCCAAAGAATTTTTGAGAAATATGACATTAAGATCACGATAGTTTCTAAGCAAGATTTGTCGAGATTCTAATCGTTCGACTGAATAAACGATCTCTTTACTGTCATCGCTTGATCTTTTAAAACACGGATGCTTTCCACATTGAATGGTATCGTTCTCAGATTTAGAATCAGCAGAAGATGTCTCAAAAACATCTTCCATGACAAAAAATTTCGTCTAAAGTTTGTAAAAGTTTCTCATGGACAACCTTCTCCTTCGCTGTCTTTACAGCTTATAATTTTAACTGCGTAGTTCCGGTGTAGTTACATGACTCCTGCATGCTCACTTCTAAGAAGACAAAGAGACTCGTGATATTAAAGAATGCAAGTTGCGTAAGACAGTTGCATCACATGAATGGAGAACTTTCTGGATGGACTTTTAAAATTAAAATTGTATTTGTTTTATCACCAAAATTTGAGACACAATCTTAGAAAATATCCCATCTAGTAAAAGAAAAGACTTTATTGTATCAGGAATTCAACTTATTTAAAACATTACATAAATTTTTTACGTTCTGTACGATCAACTTTGATGCATTTGTGTTTAATAAGGTGAAATATAGCTATAAATTATATTGAAGAACCAAATAAACGTAAAAATGACTACAAGCCAAAAAACTGTTTCCAACATTGCCGGAAAAAGAAACCTTATCATAACATTAAATAAGTTTGACACCGATTAACAAATTATTCACATTTAACAAAAGTTATAAACAATTATGTTTTGAAGAATTCAAACCATCAAAAATAATACACTGTCAGCAAGTTTATTCAATGCTAATTTTGACCAAAAACAAGCTCTATCGTAATAACACAGAGAGTTCTTGAGTTAAAAGTAACGCTTGGAAATTATCTACATTGTATTTACTATATTATTCCGATTCATGTAGTTTCTTTGGAATAAAATAACAAATTTGTGTCCTTGAGTTGCACGTAACGCTTAGAAATTATCTACATTGTATTTACTATATTATTCCGATTCACTTATTTTCTTTGGAATAAAATAACACATCAGTGTCCTTGAGTTGCGAATAACGCTTAGCAGATTCTTCATAATGAAGTAATGAAAACTGGAATTGTACTTTCCATACACAACTTATTTGAGTGTGAATGTCCTTTGACTCTTCTTTTCAATGGTTGACGACCTGTCGCTTTAAGAAAGGTTTCCTTCCAGTTTAACGATACAGAATCTTGAGTTGCGAGAACACCCACTTCATATTCAAAATTCCTTTTCACGAGACAAGAAAATGAGAAAGATATAAATTTGAAACAACGCTTGTCGTATTTTTGCTCCATAAGCCTGTTCGTTACCAGTCATCTCTTCTCGTTCATCGTACATGTCTAATTCAGTTGCATTCTGGCATCTGTAGAACTGACTCCAGAGACAAGACATGCCAGATAATCTTTAACTGAATAATCTTTACTGAATGAAAAGCTTACTATTTTTTGTCAGTTTAAAATGACGACTCTAAGCTCCTAATTATTGTCCAGTTGTTCCCAACTGGCTAGCAAACTGAATGATAAATCACACTTGATCACACGTCATATATCTAATTGCGCAAAGTTCAATCGCCACACCTTCTACGGTGTGATTAAATCTTCAACGTGATTGGACAATTTCTTCTTCACATGTCATGTGATTGCC